CTAGGAAAAGAAGAAAGGTCCAACTAAAAAGGAAAATCTTTGCTCACGAAAAGATGCCTACATTTCTCGGATAAATGTCACAAGATCCCTCATACAATATCAATGGGCATCGACAAAAAACACAATTTCAAAAATGCCAACCGCTACACCCGCTCCCGCCCACACAGAACAAATTCAACAAAAAAAACGGCAGAAACCTCTTGAGATGAAGCAGGATGAAGCGCAGCGTCTCGTAATTGCACTTGGGCAGCCGGCCGACCAGCTCGTGATACTGCGCCGCCTTCTCCTTCCCGCTCAGCACACCTGCAACACACCCTCACCCCCATCACACCCCCGTCACACCCCCTCCCCCCCCCCCCCTCACACGACACCCTCACCTGCCGCAGAGATCATCCTCTCGTGGAGGCACGTCGGAATGAGCGGCTCCGGCAGCTCCCGGAAGAACAGCTTCAGCGTCCCCGTCAGCACGTGAACGTCCTCCTCCTCGTCCAACACGTTGAAATTATACTGATCCACCTGGCACCGAATCTTCTGCACCTGGGAGAGATTCCCCGAGGCCCGATACAGCCCATCCGCCTGCAGATTCTCCTCCCTCCTCTCGATGGCCCCGACGCAACGCGACACGAAATCCGGCACCAGGCGGCGCTCCGCCTCGCACAGGGCCGACAGCGGCCGGCCGAACACGGGCTCATCTGCAGACGACGCCAGGCTCATAACGGGCCGCCCCCGGGCCACCCAAAAATCGACCCAAAAGCACGAACCCTTGTAGATCCCTTTCTGCTTGATGCTCTCCATCGTCGGGCGGCGGTGGAAGAACTTCTTGAGCCGGTCCCGCAGCTTCGTCTGGCGCTCCACGTTCGCCGCTGCCGTCAGGTCCTCCGTGCTCCCCAGAATTTTCACTGCAAAATAAAATTACAAAGTTCCCACAACAAATTCGAAAATCGCTGCTTTCTTGCCGGATCCTCTTTTTTTTTTAATTTACCAAAAATTTCCGTGGTCTTAAATAATCACCCCCTCATCAACCATTTTCAGCCATTACCAGAAAATGTTGCAGAAATCAATTTGGTGTCACGGCTCATCGAATCCCATAATTGAACCAATTAACCAATTGCCAGAATCCCCGCGTTTGGCTTTGTGCCTCTATCCCTCAATGTCTGGTCTGAGATATAAAAAATATCTGAAAGCGGTAAATTTACTTAGGGAAAAAAAAATTTCCTGCGGGAACGGAAAATAATAAGGCATCAATCAAATTTACCAAAGCAACGCAGAGAAATCCCCAAGACTGGATCGATAACAGGGAAGCAACACATTTCTCACAATTCCAGCTCGATTGAAATTATACTTATTAAATAAAATATATATTTAAAAAATAAAAAATAAAAAAAAAAACCGACAATAATACATTCTTGCTTAACCATGCTTCCAAGCATGCTCAGCCCCACGACCAAC